CCTGAACACCGCAGCAAGAGAATTCTAGGAAGTGAAATCAGAGCCCATCTCACCTCTGCTGATAACTGCCCTCCATCCCTGGCAAAAGCAAAAGTGGGGCAAGGCAACCCCTCCGTGCTGAGTTGTGGGGACAGGATGGGGTGCTGGGGGTGCAGCTGGGTCCCACAGACCCCAAAGCAGAGATGTTGTCAATGTGGCAGCTTGGGCGCCTGCAACAAATAGATCTGCCTTTGCTGCCGAGGCATCTCTTCTAAGAATATTAAATTTTATTAACAGTTCGGTGATAATCTGATTTTCTCTGCCACCTGCATGGGCAAAACTGAGGGAGGAAAGAGAAAACAGCTTTTATTGTGTTTTCATACCTTCTGCTTCAATTCGGAGCTGAGCAAGCAGCCCGTCGTTGGTTTTGTCTCCCCACCCCAGCATTAAGCCTCAAGATGCTCATCCCAGCTCCCAGTCGTCGCCCCACGTGGGGAGGCAGGAGCTGCCCGCAGATGTCCGAGGAGCTGAGCCAAGGCACGTCCCCACTGCCTGGGAACGACCCGTTAATGTCATTAACTGCGGAGGCTGTGTTCCCCAGTCGCACTGAGCTCTGTGCGCATGGGGCTCGAGATGATCTGCTTTCTCCCTGGGCTTTGAACCCCGGTTTGGAGGCTGCTGTTCATTCATCGCCCCGCTGTCCTCGTGTCCTGACCCCGCTCGTGCCCTGCCTGAGGGAGCAGCACTCTGCACCGAGGGCTGAGGATACCCAGCATTTACAGCCCAAGAAATTAGTTAATCCTTAACAAAAGCCAACTGCAACATTTAAAGTAGCCTGGACAGTGTTAACAAAATTACTGCAATTATTTCACATCCCCTTTTCTGTGCTCAAGCCGACGCTGAGGAACCATCTGCATCCCTGCAGCAGGGCCAGAGCCTGTTCTGCCAATCCTTTTCCCAGCTGGGGACTCACCAGCCCCTCACACGGGACCCGGGATGTTTTTACCACCCCACAGACGCAGGCACTGAGCACAAGGCAGCCTTTTGTCCAGGCCGGACGGATCACAGGGCCTGCACGTTTCGCCACGGACTCGGGCATTTTCATTCCTCACATATTTTATGGCTGATGTCAGGGCAGCGAGGGGGCTGCCCTGCTCCAAGGGGGGCCACATCTCCATGTGTTGCCCCCTCCACATTTCTGGATATTGCCTTCCAAGCCTGGTGCCCCCCAGAGAGGCGTCGCTTCCAGGCCTTGGCAGCTCAGGAAGCGGTGGGAGGAACAGTTCGGGAATCATCTGGTTTGGGGCAAGGAGGGGGGAAGCTGTTGACTGTTCCTTCTGTGTGGTGTAGCTGGCGTGGGCATCGACACTGACCTGTGCGCAGGGGGCAGCTGGCTGGGGTGAGAGGGTCTCACATGGCTCCGGCCAGGTCCAGCGCCAGCGAGGTCGACGGGGGCATGGAGGAGAGATGGAGGCAAAGCATTAGAATCACAGAACCATAGAATTGTCAGGGTTGGAAGGGACCTTAAAGATCGTCTAGTCCCAAACATCCCCCACTAGATCAGGCTGCTCAGACCCCCATCCAGCCTGGCCTTAAAAACTCCCAGAGATGGGGCTGCCACGCCCTGTCTGGGCAACCTGTGCCAGGGTCTCACCACCCTCATGGGGAAGAACTTCTTCCTAATGTCCAATCTAAACCAATGCAACTCTAGCTTAAATCCATTCCCTCTAGTCCCATCACTGCCCGACATCCTAACAAGCCCCTCCCCATCTTTCCTGTAGCCCCCTTGAGATCCTGGAAGCCACAATAAGGTCTCCTCGGAGCCTTCTTTTCGTTGGAGGTGGCAGCTCAGATCAAGTTGCTCAGAGCCCCAGCCAACCTGATCCTGAATGTCTCCAGCATCGAGGGTCCCCTTGTCCCCAAGGATGGGTGGATCTGGCTGGTGTTCTTCTGGCATCTCCCCTTTGGCATCACCATCCCCCTTCCCGTCCCCGTTCCACAGCCCTCCATGTCCAGTGTTGCGCTCAGGTGGTCCCGGCATCCCCAGGGACACCCGACAGGCCCATGTGCATGTGGTTCAGGGGACAATATCTGGATGGTGAAGGGTTCTCTCTGCAGGTTGTTAGTATATTAGAGGGAAAAACCACAGAATCACTAGGAGGCGTCCCATTTTCAGTCCCAGTATGGATGCTGAGGGCTACACAGAGCGATGTGATTCCTCGTGACCGTAGAGGTGCTATGGATGAGGTCGATGGAGTCCCTGCTCCCCTCCTCGCAACAAAAGAAAGGGATAAACTAGAAATAGCCATAAGGAGAGTGGAAAAATCATGTTCGGCTGAGTTTCTCATCATTCTTTCCCTTCATAGCCAATCATCTCCTCGATGGTGAGCCTGTAAAGATCGTTAATTTATCTCCTTGCTGTGACTTAATTGTCTCCATCTGTATCGTGCAAAGCTCGCACTGGGGATATATTTTTGCTTGCCTATATTTAGTTTGATCTCTACCACGATATCAAAATAAATAAATTAAGGCTGCCTCTTGGGCGCTTTTTGGCACTGAGATCCCATGGATGATTTTCCCTCTGGTACTGCTGGGAGATGCCGAGGGCAGAACCATCCATAGTCTCTCAGGGTCTATGTGAGCAGAGGAGCTGCTCCGAGGGGTCACCCAGCGGGAGCTGCTCCTCTCTTTGGAGATGGTTTGAGGGGAAAAGAGGAAATATGAGGCAAAGGAATGAAAATAAACAGTCTAGGGGTGTAGCGAACCAGCCTGGGCTGCAGGAAAGGGGGATGCAGAGGGAGACAGGGGGAAGGCAGCAAAGTCTGCACTTCCTCACCGCAGAGCTGCAGCACGGCCCCAAAATAACATCCCCTGTCCCCAAACTGCACGATGGTGAGCTTGACATCCCAAGGGACCCTGCAGCCAGGAGGAGGCAGCCGCTTCCCAAAGCCACCCTCATCCTTAGAAAATCTCCCACGTTTATAATGCTGTAGCCAGACAGTTCCCCTCCCTCTGGGAAGCAGCGGGAGTCAGAGTGAAATCCCACTCTGCAAGCACAGTTCCAGAGCTGTTGGGGGGAAAAAGACTCAGTGAAAATTATGACAAAATGGTATTATGGCTCTTTCTGTTTACAGCTGGGGTCTGGCAGTGAAGCGATGGGTGCTCACGCTGGGTGCTCAGCACCCAGGAACACAAATCAGGCTGATTCCTGCCAAAAAACCCACCTTGCCATGTATGTGGTGAGCTGGGATATTGTGCGGGGATCACCCATCTGAAGAAACCCCGCAGAAATTACCGATTTAATGAGGTGCATGTATATGTAATCACTGTCTGGGCTGTCTTTCCCCTCCCTGTTGTCTGTCTGTCAGAGGGAGCTCCGTGGCTGTGGGGACAGGCACCAGGGCAAAGGCAGGTAAAGGTTTAATTTGGTTTTATTTATAAACAAAGGAGGTAACTGCATTTTCATGTTGTTATTTAAAAAAAAAAAAAAAAGGCAGACATTTGAGATGATGACTGCTTCTGACTGAAACCGTGAAGGAGAGAGAACAGCAGATGGCAGATTGTGGTGGACCTGGCATTGCTGTCTTGACGACTCAATGATCTTGAAGGCCTTTTTCCAACCTAAACAATTCTGTGATTTCAGTGGAAAACAGAGGGCAGGGGCTGTCCTCCTCCTCCCTACGAGGCAGCAAGTGTTACCGGCGTGAGGACAGGGCTCCAAGACACCAGGGAAGGGGGAAAGGCAGCTCAAGAGAGACTTCATCATGACGTGAATTGACTTACAAGCAACCAAAGTGGTCCAGGATTAGCTTCTGCTTGGTTACACAAAAAGAAACGTAATTAGCTAACCAGGGAGTTTTCCTTTGTGATGGCAAGTAGATCTGTTATTACGGTGGTGTGCTACACACCCGCGTGGCTGCCGACGGCATCCAGGTCCACCAAAACCTACAGAGAGAATGCACTGGGTCCTGATGCAGCACAGCCTCCCAAAAATGGCATTTCCCAGTACACAGCAATGTAACAGCAATGGAAAAGTGGGGCCTGAGCCCTCCCTCCCTCCCTCTCAGCAGCAGAGGGATTTAAGAGATAAAAACCCTGCCCTGTGTATGAGTTGAGGTGATGCTGGACCGACCCTGAGGACATCCCGTGGTGGGAGAGGCACTGACACTGGCTGACTCCAGCAGCTAAATCACGGCGTGGCTTTGCATGGGAGTAGTTTGGGAGTCTGGAAGTTGAGCAGATGCTTGCCCGAGAGGCATCTGTCAGCAAAGTCTCTCCACAAAACTCTTAGACAACGTTAACACATCCTGGGATGGGAACCTGTTGTGATCTGCTCGGGATAACGTGATCCGCCGAGCTGCGGACGCGCGGCGCGTGTCGATGGGCTGCGCTTCCCCACTCACTCAAACTTAATTAGCAAAAAAAATAAGGGCCATATGGTAATTCCGAACACAGGCAAAACAATGTCTGTGTGTTTGGGTCTGGTATACTCAAATATTTTCCTAGAGCATTAATTTTTAATTCTTACATCAGACCCACATAAGCAAACATAAATAGGATTTTATACTTTACATAATCCATCCAGCTTGTGTTTGTTGTTACATATACTGAATAATCACTGCCTGCCACTACGTACAGAAGAGCTAATAATAAATATTAGGACACAAACTTACAAGATAAATGAGATACAGTTAAGTAGTCGATTAAAAGGACAGCCATAATCTAAGGTTACAAAAGACTAAGTATTGCTTTTCTAATGTGCTTTTCTCCTTCGCTTCAATCGCTCACCTGCCAAACCTCTACCGGGAGCAGCACGTAGGAGAGCTCAGAGTCGTTTGTGGCAACGTGCATAGATTGGGGGGGTGTAAGTGGGATTAATGAGGAGAATTAGACACAGGGAATGTGTGCAGGGAAACACAGGGTTCGTCTCCTGTTCGGATGGAAACTTGCAGCGTTGGCCCGTGGGGCTGTTGTAAGAAGGAGCTCTTTGTTCCCTGTCCCGGCTTCTTCTCCCGCCTCGGTCAGGCAGAGAGGGACGGGCTCTGCTCGGTGTGGGCTCGCAGGAGCGCGGCGATGTCCTCACGGGCAGCGCGCTGAGCCAGCGACAGGGCCGAGTTCCCGCCCTGTGGGGAGGGAGGAGGAGAAGATGTCACTGCCTGGGTCCCTCCACCTCGCCTCGGCCACCCCTTTTAAATCCACCCAGCTCCATCCTCACCCTCCTCTGTGTCTCAGCCCCACCGCTGCAAAGGGAGGGTGTTTGCAACCTGCCCGCTGAAGACGGGCTTTCCTCCGCTCTGACGAATGGTTGGCCAGGGTGGTTTTGCGCCCAACTATTTAGCCCCAAAACCTCCATCCCTCATTTAAAATGAGCTGCCATCCTGCCAACCGCCCAGTAGGAGGTTATTCATTATGGGAGGCTTTTCGAGGCTTGACCTCAACTGCACAAAATGTGTCTCAGCCAAGCTTTCCCTTGGTCCTGGTGCTGTCTCACACATCTTAAATGATGGTTTAATTAGAAAAATAGTTGCATAACTACAAATGCAGCTCCGTGGCCTGTCACCAGGAGGCTGTCGGAGGGGAGATTTCTGCCACGCAGCCGTGCTGCTCTCAGCACAGCCCCGTCCCGTCCCACACATTCCCTCTGTGCAGAGGCCTCCGTTTGAAGGAGAGAGTTAATTATTGTTCATTTCTTGGAGCCAAAGCTCTGCTGATTCCACATGTCCAGAATTTCACCTATTTTTTTGGAGGTTTACAACGGGTTGAGGTCTCCCGCCACCCCGTTACTGACACCTGGGG